TAAATGTATTTTGAAGGTGTATACGCTCTAAATCAATTTTTATCACTTGATAAAGTTATTAGAAAACAAGAATTAACAGCTGAGAAAATTAGAGAGCAGAAAAGTGCACAAGCATTATATTAAAAAAAAAAAACTTGAGAAAACCTCAGGAAGTTCTACAGTCTCATTTGTTTTCTGGCCAATTCTGAGTAGTCAACCCCAACTCTGTTAAATTTCTAAATACTCTACAGGAATGGTATTTTTGGGGGTGGCCATCACAATCTTGACTGTATTGCAACCTTATTGCTCTACCCCACCTTTTAAATTGTATGGTCTTCTATTTCCATTGTCCTGTGCTGCAAAAGCTTTCCAAGTCCGGTCAAGGAGAATGCACCTTGCTGCTCAGACACTTTCCTGGTCTGTTGTCAAGCCTGAAAGCACAGGCAGGAGGTGGAGGGTAGCACCTGACAAGCGGGCTGTGAACCTCAGCACTAGCAGTAGAGGCAAATCTGATGGATCTGCATGTGGCCACTAGGGCCACTAGTACCGAAACCGTCCCCACTTTCCAGTTTCATCATTAAAATACTTTCCAAAATAGTAATTCATAACCCGCATGTTGATGCATTTAAGACTCTCACATCAGACATATGTTGCAGTAGGACCTAGGAGCTAATGGGTTTTTCCAATCACAAAAAGTCATGAGAAACATCTCAGGACTCTGGGACACACTGTGCTAAGTGCTTCAGACATATGTAATAGAGAAAGCTCTAACCAAAAGGAGCCTATAGAGGATCCACAGATACATATAACTCCTAAAATATAACGGTTAATAACATTTAGAGAAAATGGGATAAGAGGTGAACCCAAAGCAACATGAAAATAAAGTATATAGAGTCAAAAGAGCAGAATCTTCAGTCTACCCTGACAGCACACACTTAAGGCAATCTTAACGATCTGAAATGATCTTTCAACTCTGGCCAGCTATTTTGAGCATCTTCTGGCTTTGTAATACATCATACATTGTGGATATCAAAATAGATATAGTATGTAGCAGGATACTACCCAGTTCATCCACATCAATCCCCCTTACAGGCTACCGTTTGTGTTGCTTCACGCATGATCCTTCTACTTCCTTTCTGTGACAATAACCACATCAATATTAATAATGATAACCGCAAAAAGAGCTGTGATAGTCAGTCACTGGGGAAATTACTTTAAGGTAGTAATGGAAATAGGTTTGATTCATATCTCTTTAATTGTTTATTTCCACTTCAGAGAAAACACAACTTTGACTCTCCAAACAGCTGAGGTGAAGTCCTTGCCTTACTGAGTTCAGTGGTAAAACTCATACTGATTTCAAATCCGAATTCTCCTATTTTAGCACACTTAGGTCACATGCTGTGAGGGTTCAAGTAGTACCAGCAAAGTCAACAGGACCATTCTTAGTGTGTCAAGATTTGTTTAAAGGAACTGGCGTAGCAATGTGAATTTGGTGCCTGCCATGCATAGCATAGCTACACCAGCAGATTCTCCTAATATACCCAGCGTTTATACCTGCAAAACAGTGCTTTTACCAATACAGGCTGTTCTGCTTATGTGGAAATGATTATTCTATACTGACAGAGAGCATATATATTCCTACACTGATAAAGAGTTCCTAGTATAAACACAGTCATCATCTGTCACAAGGAGCAAGAGGAAGGACAGAGAGATTGTCAGACTGCTAAATTTGTCAAGCAATATTTATGATAATTTTTGTTGTAAAACATGTTACTTGGTCTTCTGACACACAAACTCTACCTGGACCTTCAGAAGCATATAGAGAACGGAGGAGGGTGAGAGCCTAGGAAAAATCTTTAGGCCAATTATACTTTCGCATATGGGAACGCTCTAAACATACAGAAAGCAAAGACAATTTGAACCCAGTATTTTATTTTACATGCCAAGAATCCTTCCCTGGTCACTTACCGACTGCAGCTTCCAGTATTTACCTCTTCTGCAGGCCACTCCATCCCACTGTTCACTATTAGCATTACAGATATCGTATGAACTCCCACCCACAGTAGGCATATTAGGATGCATCTGCTCATCCTCTGGCCACAACTGGCTGCTCCAAACTCTTCCTAAATCTTATCTCTTCCAGGAACCAACTTTCTTAGCCTTGCCCAATCATAAAGTTCAGCTTGATACCAGAAACGTCACCTAGATTTCTTTATTTGGGGAATATGGCAAGTAGCAAGCATAACACCACGTGCTGCTGACAAAAAGCACACACAGGGGCCCGACCATTCAGCCACAAATCTACGTATCTCCTTCATATACATGTAATCACTTCCTAATACATCATATTATGCATTTTCCTACTGTTTTTTTGTTATGATCTTCTTTCAATTCATTAATTGTTTTATTTGTATGCTAGGCCACATACTGAAGCCACTATCTTCAGTAGCACCATGTGTTTAAGTCACTTTATCTCTCTTTACATACTACATTTGGACACTTCTTAGGGTGTTCAGCCCTCTGGTTCAGATATGTGCAAATCCATTATATTATGGACATATCTGTTATGTTTTTAATCTGTTATCTTGCTGCTTATTAGTCACATTATCAAGTTTCTTCCTACTTCAGTTGCACAGCTGTAGTAATTACCTTTCATATGTTTCAGGTCTGCACAGGCATGGACTTTAAAGTCAGATATAAGGAAAAGCGGCATGGGAGGAACACTGAAGAGCAGGGCCCTCGTACAGGGGATTTCTTGTCATTAGCCCTTGGCTATGATGGGTTTCTAG